CGCGGGGCGTGGGCTGTCCACTGGGGTGCAGGGGGGGGGGGGGGGGGGGTTGACAGTCAGTTTAGGAGCCGTTTTCCAGCAGGACCAATCATTCACAGAACGATGAGGGGGTTTTAACCAGCTCACAGGAACATTCACTTCACATGCTTCTGCTTCTGAATAGTTCCTGAGAGTTACAAAATAAAAGCTACTGAATACTTGCCAAAATGAATGTGTACAACTTGAGTGAATCTCCTTATACGGTGGTTCATCTTTTGCTGGAAATATAATCTGTCAACGGCTCACCTGTGTGTGAGACATAACGTCAGCCTTTTTGCCTGTTGGTCATTTGACGACTTCCAAGTGAACAGATAAGGAGTTTGGGCCGTTTCTATGTTTATAAACATGAGTAAACTAGCACATCTTGGTCCTCTGGGGGCGTTACTGATGTAACATGAATGTAGTTCGTCCTGGAGGCTGTGAAACCTTCTTCTTACCTTCTTTGTCCCACGCATCGTTCCTCTTTCCAGCCTGCCAAATATATTTACTGAAGCAGTGATGTCTCTATCCTCCATTACCGTTCCTCTCGGCGCCAGTTAGCTGGGCTACAGTGAAGGATCTCTGGCGACCTCATACGTCGTCTTGCAGTACTGCAGTGTTGTAAGTAGTATGACTGAGGGCAAAGAAGTGAACTAAGCAGAAAATTAGAAAATATATGTAATTGGGTTTTAGATAAAACTACACCGCACAGACCGCTGGAAAATTAAGATTAGTGTACTATTTAATTCATAAAATACAGAGTTTAACTGCAGTATGAAATGTGAAGTAGAGAAAGCTCCTGGGGAAATACTAATAAAATACAAAAAATAAAAAATGTGAAGTGGAGAAAGTAAAGACGACATTAAACTTGTGGAACTGGAGGAAATAGTCTATTTTAGATGCAAACATACTGGTCAACTAATAAATGTTTCTATCTATTAATGAGGATTTTACATTTTCTGACAAAGACAATCGAGCCAGTTAACAGTAAAAAGGCTGTTTAATTGCAGAATATATTGACAGTACAGTACAGCAATAAAAACACTGCCATATTGCTTCTATTTTACATGACTTACACAGCTGCTGTTCAGCTTATCAAACAAAAACAGTAATACGGTACTTGTACAGTAATGATGAGAAACACAACATACAGACAAGCTCACAGAGCACTTCGCCCATCACTTTCCACTGACCGCTGGCTGTGTTAATTAAGAAATGCACAATAATATAATAACCGTAAGAGCAAGAACAAAGACAGAGCAGTCAACCCCGACAGTAGTGATGTCCTCGTCACTGGGACAAGAAGGACAAACTGGGCTGAAGTCACACAGGGAGCAGAGGTACAAAGCCACCAAGCCCACAGACGAAAACAAAACAAAAGAGAAGAATAAAAACCAAAACAATATGGATTACTTTGTACGTACACAATACATACATGACATGAAATGACTTGACATTGTCCGTGGTCACTCATTACTCTTTGAACTGGCCTTCATTCACCACATCACATCCTCTTTATGACTTGTACCTCCGTTCATGTATCACATGGGTGCTGTTGCATTTCACTACAAAGCTTCAGTTTGTAAATAAGGGCACCACAGCTGCTTCTTCACAGCCTTCCTCTACAACAGCTACCGCAGAAACATGGGAGCCGACCTGTCGTCAGTCACTGCCTTGCGGAGCCTCACCCCCCGGCGTATCGTCACCAGCATATCCATGTCCTCCTGGGTCGTAGAGGACGGCTCCTGGGGCACACGCTGAGCCGGATCCCCTGGCAGTGAGCTGTAGAAAGGAAAGTGACCCTCGCCGAGGGCGCGGGCGCTGGCAGCCAGCTCCCCTATCTTTTCCACCAGGCTGTGGCGGTTGGCAGCAAGCAGAGGGTCCTCTTCCGCGCTGTGGGCGGCCATGCCAGGGGCCTTTTGGGCGTAAATGGTCCTGTCCGCTTTTTCTCCTCTTCCTACTCCACAGCCCCAAGCTGCGTCGGGGAGGCTCATCCGCTTTGGAGAAGCCCTCATGTAGTCACTAGCAGTTGGGTCATCACCATAAAGAAACTCCTCGCTGCCCGCACGATGCTGGGACGGGCTTCCATAACCTGGTGAATCTGGCACTGTTGGGGTCTTAACTGGCACAATGGGGGGCCGGATGGGAATGGGGCCAGATATGGACGGCGTGCGTCTCACTCCGGTTTTGGAGGATGGAGTCCGGCGAATGGTCGCCGTCCCCGAGGTGATGGCCCCAGCACCGCTTCTGCCTGCACCGTTCGGAGTGCCCTGCAGGGTCTTACCTGCAGGCAGACCTGCTGTGCTGGCAGGCCTCTTGGTTTGGATCATGCGGCGGTAGCTCTGAGCGATGTTACTGTGGCGTGGGATGGTGGAGGACTTGTCAAAGTCTGCCCGCCCTTCGCTGTCAGCATCCCCGTTGAGAGAGTAGCACTCATAATCAGAACCTGGAAGTGACAGTGAGTCATGAGCATCCACTGAATAAAGAACACTGAAAGCAACTAAGCTATTTTGTAGCTTCATTACATAATAACTTATCGCATGCAGTAATTGAATTAACACTGCAAATAGTACAGCACTTTCCAAATGACGTGTATCACACATTCACATCAAAAGCAACAGGGCCAATCACAAATTCTGTGCTGTATGCAGACATCATATGTGTTTTATCCTAACAGACTGCGTGGATGTTGAGCGTGAGTGATACCTTGTGAGGGTATGGTGTCCTCGGAACAGGAAGGGGTGTTAGTCTGGGTGCTGTAGCCGCTGGAGTACTGCAGAGAGTCCCTGCTGCTCTTCTGCTGCTCCATACTCAAGCCTCTGGTCAGAACCATAGCTAGAGTGGTGGCTGCTGGAGAGAGCGGCTCACCATGCTGAGGCACACACACATACACACACACAGGCAAGTAGGAAGTACATAAAGATCAGCACACATTTACATATGCAATTCACCATAATACAAGTCTCGAGGCATACAAATTTATGTACCAACATTTTTACTCCACGAGGACTTCTTACCTTAGCTGCAATGGTTCCTGGGATAATTCTCGCTCTGTGTGGATCATCTGGTTGCATCCCAGAATACCCCAGTGGACTGGACGGAGCTTCCAGCTCTCTCATCTTATCCACAGACTGCCTCTTACGCTGCAGAGTGCTGGCCAATGAAGGCTCACAGGATTTGGCCCAGTCCTACAGCAGCAGACCAAACAATGAGACTGCCCTACAAATGTACGTCTGCGGTGTTTGCCACCCGACAGTTGTGCAAAGTCAGTTAAACACGGAAGCTGCTGATTAGGCTCATGAACTGGTTAGATGCCGATGTAGATATGGGCAGACTACATCAAGCAAGTGTTGTTAAATGATATAGCCGCCTCAGTTTCGCACACCTTTGTGAGGAAAGATTTCAAAACTGAGCTTGATGAGCAACAGCAAAATGGTGACTGTGAGGTTAATCTTGAGGCTCGTTAATGTGCATGAAGGCAATAGAACACAAAGAGGCAAAGAAGCAACAAAGTTTTAAAAGAGCAAACCCAAAAGAAAAATTGCAAATGAAAACAAACCTTCCAGCTAGGAATCTTTGATGTGGGTGAGGGGGTGTTGGATCCAGGGGAGAGGTTAAATGTGGGGGACGCAGGAAGTATGACAGAGAGAGGCCTGATGGTGCCAGTGTGAGAGAAAGCAGGGCGGAAGGTACCGAAGGATGAGCATGAGCCAAACTGCAGAACGGACAGACAAGTCTGAGTCAGAGTGCTCAACATCCATGAATAGTCCACGTCAAGAGGAGCCCACCGGCCTCTTTAAGTTATAGATAACAATGAGTGAAATGCAAAGCACATCGTGTGTGTGTGTGTGTGTGTGTATGCATGTCTGTGAGTGTGTGTGTCTCCAATAAAGCAAGGAGATCTGGTGAGATGCATGCAGTACTAACCGCCGTGGGAGAGTTGCACTCGCTGACAGACTGGCAGGTTTCTGAGGCCTCAGAGGAGGCTGAGCTTGTTGATTTCTGGGAAAGGATAAGATGGAGTAAAAAACAGTGGAGGGGAAGAAGAAATGAGGTGAGAACGGTAGGTGAGAAGAGAGACGAGAGATGCACAGGAAGAGGGAGAGAGTTGGAGAAGAGTGTTGATGAGCTTTAGGAGGAGGGAGGTATTTTGGTATCCGAGGGGATCTATAGATCACAGCCTAGATCGATAATGAAGTAGCCTGTAAGATCATTTATTCAGAGCATCACTGGGTGTGCTTGAGTGCTGCTGAGCGTGTTCTGTACATTACACTCTGTTCAGACTGCGAGAGTTTGGATAACTTTTATCAGACCGGGGGGAGAAAAATTCAACATTCGTAAAAGAGAAAAAAATGAAAACGCTCTGTTTGGGTTTGGTGGTTGATACGGGCTGTTGTCTGGAATGCAAACATGTCAACACTGAATTGGAAAAGGATCATTGTTAAAAGGAGAGAAGTGTTGTAGACCTACTGTGACAAGAACGTGGTGTTGTTTCTGTGTCCTTCTGCCCTACAGCATTACTACCCGAGGAATCTCTATAGCTAGCTAACTTGGTTTCCACTGATCAAGGAATGTTATGCTTTAGTGGTATGGCTGAGACGACTACCTGGCTGGTGATGTCAGAGGGCATGGGCGACGGAGGCTTCGAGTGGGTGTTGGCGTCCTGGGATACGAAGCCCGAGTCGTGGGAGGAGACGCTGCTGAGCCGATGGGCTCCTGCAGAGGGCATCTGGAGGAGGCTGGTGACAGGATATCACGTCAGTATAAAAACTCAACATGTATGCAGGATTCACAATGACCAAATGGACACAAATCAAAACAGGGAAAAAAAGTCACTTGTATTTCCTTTATACGTGTGCATAAATAAAATATGTGTGTTCAATTATTTTGCCTTTTGCTTCCTAAAAAAACCCAGAATATATATTTATTAAATTATTGAGACATGATATCATGATATGAAATCAAATGACACTACAGACAACAAGGTGAAGAGGTGTGTTGCATTCCCATGATGTCCAGCAGCGAGCAGCATCGACGTGTCAATACTAAATGAATGACGGGGCGCAGGGGAGATTTAACTTCTTAGAAAAGGATGCATCATCTCCGTTAAAATGAATAGTCAACTCCCCAATCAGATCGGAGGAAAAGATAATGAACTGTCCTCCTGACATACAGTATGTTTTTCATTCAACTATGACAGAGTAAAATACAGAAGGGAATACATATTGCAACATTTTCTATTTCACTTTTATCCCTGGTTTGATTTGTGTTCAATTGGGCATCGTAAATCTTCCATAACAATATAACACCATGCATGCTAAACAGGATCGTGATTCTAGCATCCCCCCCCCCCCCCCTTATTTTGTTCTGAAACTTGTTATGGGAAGATTTATGTGTAGGTCATGGAAGAAAAGAAGAAAAGGCTAAATGAAAAATGTATTACAAAAGCTGAGGACATGAAGGCAGTGTTATGTGAGAACTCTAAACGATGCCATTCTTTTAATTTCGGTGCATCAAAGAGCATTCAAAAGTTATCCCTTCTTTGATTTTGATTTTCCTCTGAACATTAACAGCTGCCTCCGTGCTTTTTGTCTCCTGCTCTGTCATTCTCACTCAGCGTTGATTCTCTTTGTCGCCCACAGATTTGAAAAAAAAAAAATGTGCAGCTTATGCTTCTCACCTTCCCTCTGTACTGCTCTCCCCCACCTCCTCCTCCCCCTCTCCCTCTGGAATTTATCTGAAGCTATCATTTCTCCTTAATCTTTCTCCTCTAGGATAAGGCTGCATGTGAATTAAATATGACAAATTAAATATCCTTAAATGATTCATTACTCAACACTAACCTCATGGCCTGGTTCTCTCTTATCTGTGTGTTTAAAGAAGTACAAAGTGAGCTTGTTTTTATTCCATTCTGCTAACAAGACCTTCATCTCTTGATCACAAGTTTCTTTTTAAATTCCCATATACCAAATCATGGAACAGCAATCTTGTGATTCTCCACAACTGAATCATGCCATGCAGAGAAAATACTCTGACCTTCAGCTTATCAAAAAGCTTTTACAGACTGAAAGCTCTACATCGGTCAAGCTGAGACCAAGGTTGTTTCTCCAAGTTCCATTTGGGAGGTGTAACCTTATATGGACTTGTCTTATTCTACCCTAAAAAACAGATATAACTCTCTAACATATAGTCAGTGGCTGTATTGTAAATGAATATTGGACACAAATAATAGGCTGCAGTCTTAATTAATACAAAAATCAGGGTGGTTCTGTAACACCAAATTGAGGTGACAACAAGGTTTGGTATACTTTTTTAACGTTTACAATTTAACATTGCAAGGGTTTATCTGCAAAGAAAAGCTCCTTACTTGACCTAGAAAGCATATCTGACCAATCTTTATAGCTAAATTGTTGAACTATCACCATTAGACTTACAAATATGTGGAATTGGGTTGCTCGTGTAGGCTCATGGCTGTCAGGCTGTAATGATTCACAGCTTTGGAGCTAATCTGGCTGTAAGAAGCTTGAGAATTGCAAATCTACCAGGTGCAAGAGCTGAGGAGCTGTACTCTGTGTCGATTGTGTGTCTGGCTGAGTGGTGAGGGAGGGTGGGGGGGTCACCTGCTCATGTATACATGACAACCTTCAACATGTCATTCCTTCCCTACCAGTGTGTTAATAAGTGAGTTGAAATCAAGAATGTGCATGTATGTTCACTTGAAACAGCTCAGATCCACTCAGCTCACTTCAAGTATGAATAAAATTCATCAGACACGGCACACGAAACAAGACACGCTGAACAGAGAACAAAGAGCAACACTTTGTGTGTATGTGTGTGTGTGTGTGTGTAGGATATACCTGCACATGCTGCTCTTCCTGGAGCCGCTGCTGCTGGGGGAGGAAGGAGGGGTCTGGTAGGACCAGCTGTAGTCGGAGCCTTTCAGGTCCCGGATCACCTGCGGCAACACATCATCATACGGTGACGATACGGTGAAAACAATAGACACGTCGACATCGCTTTTACACGAGATAGAGAAAGTTATTTCTCTAGCTGTGTTGTGGGACATGTGAGGGGGTGAATACGTTTTGTGGTGAAACTGTAGTGGCTGTAACAGCAGGGCACTGTCATTTTAAGCAAATGTTACTCAAACAAGAGTAAATGTGTTGGGGATTATTTTCAGTAGCGGCCTGAACATGTCAGATCTGACAAGCGGCATTCGTAGAATCAGTAGTATTACACCTCTGTCACCTGCTCACTGGCCGGTGGCAGCTTGTGTGGGTCTTCAGTCAGCAGAGTGAGGTCATCAACAATCGGCTGCAAATGTGTTATCTCTCCCAGCATGGCGATCTCTGCGTTCTGGAGGGGAAACGGGAGGGGATCGAATTTAACGGCGACCACATCAACAGCAAGAGCATTCGGAATAAAACATCCTACGACTCTCAGGTGAACAGAGGCTAAATGTTCCTCACCACCACGGGCTGCAGCAGGTTAATGAATGTACAGTAACGGCCTCTCTCTTCCAGCAGCGCTCTGCGCACTGCCTGCTTCTCCGTCTCCTTCATCAGCAGGTACAAGTCACTGACATCCTGCATGGCACTGTCCAGCTGGGGCCGCAGGTTACCCCGGCCTGTGTGAGGCGAGCCAAGGGGTACGGAGACGCAGAGAGGAGGGGGAGGGAGGGTGGAGCGAAGGAGGAAAGAGGTGGGAGGGAGGGAGGGAGGGGGGGGGGGGGGGGGAAGAGAGATTGGGAATTTGAGGGGCAGGTGATAATTACGGAAGTGACATGAAGGGAGAAAAGTGCACACAGTTCAGAGAGGAGGGGGAAAGAGTACAAAATGAGAGACGATTAGAACACACAATGATAAATTGCTTGTGTACTGGAGGACGACACACTGACAAACACTGCACATTGGAATGAGAGGACGCTGAAGCATGTCATCAATCACGAGTCGGTGCAAAGCAACTAGGTGGTGACTTGTAGGTCCTGAAATGGATGCGATTAGACACACGATAGTAAACACAATGTCTGAGAGTCATTCAAGACCGCAAACAACAATGACACTAGATGATAGACGAAGGCAGGCGAAAAAGGATGCAATGATGATGATGAGCACAGAGGTGCCGCGTTTCACTCTGATTGCATGATTTAGACAGAGATGCACTGCCAGATAAAAACACCCTACAGTATATCTCAGCATATTTGGTTGAATCTCAAACCACTTTAAAATACAAGTAAGGAATATAGTTTTGAGTGGATGGTAATCACTTAAAGGGTCGTACCATTAACCATATGTTGAAGACATATCAGAGCGTAATCTGTCAGTGCACCAGCATTTAATATGACACTGATTAAATGAAGGGTCTCATAAGGATCTGACAGCTTGTAAAATGAATGAAGCTAGTTTAGCTTAGCATAAAGACTGGAAAAAGGGGAAGGCGGCGAGCTGGAAAGTTAATCCGTAAAACAGCAATGTGTCGTTTTTACACTTTACATTATTGTATGGATTAAACAAAAGAGACTCATTATGTGAATTGGTAAACTAATTAGAGAAGCTGGTAGATGTGTTTTGTTTCCATAAGACTGAGCCAGGTGAGATGTTTCCATCTTTTATGTTAAAATAAGACTAAACAGCTGCCGGTAGTACTTTCATATCTAGCATACATGAGAGTGGTATCTATCTCCTCATCCAACTCTCTGCAAGAAAGCAAATAAGAGTATTTCCCAAAATGTCAAACAATTCCTTCTTTTAACAAAAAAATGCTAAGACAACACAGGATTTTATTTGTCTGGCAGTTTGATCTAAGAATGATTACGATGCCTTTGAAAATGATCTCATGAAGCACAGCAGACATACCTAGAAGCTCTACAGCCAGGGAAATAGCCAGAAAGAAGTAGAGGAAGGTTGCAGGAAAGGGGGGGGGGGCAGAAGAACAGGCAGTGTTAGCTGCATCAAATCAAGGCACATTGCATGTTTATGACCAGCCGGTACCACTGGTGTAAATCCTGCACGGTAATAGGAATTTAATTACATCCAGCAGTAGTGGCTAATGCAAGCACAGCCAGGAAAGAAGATCGCTTCTTTGATTTACAAGGTAGAAGCTGACAAATCATCCAAAGCTGGAAAGGAGTCTTTGGAATAGTGCCAGGCATTTTAGTGCTGTCATTTCTGACTCTACACTCTAGATGGCGCCAGTTCACTCTGAACTATTGGTACAGACCAGCGGCCAAGCTGACTTAAGACATTAATATCAGGATTTAAATCTCAATGAAGTTGTGTGAGTCGTTCTATTAATTAACAGATTCTCGGCAAGTTTTTTTCTCACCTTTTCTGGCTTTTTTCTGGAGTTTTATGGTATCTAGCGACTTCCTTTTGATTTCCTGGCGAGACCGCTTGTATTCTGTGGACAGCAAGTGAAAAAAGGCGCATCAATTTCTGTCCAAATACACCGTGCTCACAAACAAGTAGTTATAGTCTGTGTGTCCAGGTTGTTCACCTTTGGCGTGGTCTTTGTCCAGCTGATTTGCCGTCTTCTTCCATTCCTCTATCCTGTCCTGGAGTGGCGTAACCAGGCCTTCCATAAGAGCACTACAGCGAGGAGACACGACATGAGAGGAGAGTGTGAGAGGCATAATAAATAGCTGTATTTCCATGGCACAAAAACACTCAGGGAAGTGTGGCATGAGAGGAAGGTCACCAGAGATGGGATGGGACCCGGGAATATTAATCCCCTCAAGGGAAGCGAAGGGAGAAAATTGCAGTGGAGGGGTGACACTTACTTGGTGAAGTGGCGTAATTTAGCCTCAATGCTGCGGTGTCGCATACACATCCTCGTCAGAGCTGAGCCGACGTCCCTGGTGGCACCTTGGATAAGACAAAACAAACAGATTGTCACCCACGATATAAGAGGCTGGAATTACGAACCACAAATATGCCTCTTGGCCTCGAAAAATATAATTCTCTATGAAGGAGACATAACACATCAAGAGAGCACTGTAAAAGGTTTATTCTCTCCTGTCAGATGGATTTATCAGGGCGTGTTTCTCCCTGCCAATGAGGCGTTTCCAGCTGCCGCCACTAGGTGGACGAGGGCCGATTGTAAAAGCAGAGCACATAAATGTCACATTTGTTTGGCGAAAGGAGATGCGACACAGAAAACGAAATCCCTATACGCTCCCGCCCACTTCACAAAACATGCATTTCACCCTTTGACACTTGAAGATTGCGTGTGTGATTCACACCACAGCGTAAAAACAACAGCTTGTGTGAATCGGTTACTGTACTTTTCCTCTCTGCTGAAGTGTAATTAAATGGGGTTTTCAGCCCCTAAAGCCCAGGCTGGCCCACTGTCCCCCGGATGGTTCACAGGCCAGTGTAATATGTGGCAGCAGTGATCCGGTTGTAATCTGGGCCACATAGGGCTAATCTGAGGGTCTCTTGCCAAACACACACGTACACACACGCACGCACGCAAGCACGCAAGCACGCAAGCACGCACGCACACAAAAGAGGGAGGACATCTCTCAGCAGCAGACGGCCCTTTCAGAATCAAGGCATGTACGGTTGTATTTGTGTTCATGCATGATTTTTGGAGCATGTGCACAGGTTCGCGTGTGCATGTGTGTGTGTATACAGTATATAGACAGGTGGTGTGATTTACCATCCCCCCCACCCTTTCTGAGGTTCTCACCCCCTCTATCCTGGAGGAAAAAGGAGGGAACCCTGTAAGGGGATATCCCTCTATTCTTCCCTGCCTGCTCTGCCTTTCCTGTTCTCTCTGTTTCCTAAACACCATTCATGCAGGGCGGACAGAGAGAGAAAGAAACAGGCAGCAAGAGAGAGTGATACCCAGAGTGAAAAAAGAAAAACAACTAATGAAATAAGACACGGGGTAAGGAATGCTTCACATGAAAATAGCACAGATTTCCGGTGAGATCTGTGCTATTTTCCAGTTTCCGCACAATAAAGAAACTAGGTTAACGTCTCCAGCTGACATCACGTCACACTGCCAGTTCAAAGACCGTTTCACTGCACCACTCGGCTGTCAACTTCAGTGACGGTTGCACCAGTTCAAGGACACCGAGCAACCGATCTGGACTCCATCTCACGGAGACAATCTTCGGACAGATGTAGAATAACTTGATTGTGTTTGTGCGTTGGGGGAGAGGAGGGGAGGGGGGGGCGGTCCTGTGTCTGCACTGCTTTTCTAGGTGACAGAGAGAGAGAGGGGAGGGTTAGAGGTGAGAGGTCATCCAGCTGTATCACACGCAGGCGTTTAAAACACCAGCAGGAAGTGATTGAGTTAACATGCGGAAACTATCCGCTGAGCTCTTGTTATTAATAGCGAAAGGGTCTTTTAAAGGACTGGGGTTGAGTATCCGTCATGTAACGGCCTCTTTTCCGACAGGCTCGTTGCTTCATAGAGTCAAGTGTGAAGACGTATGAGGACACGTGCGCGCTGGTTATGCAATCTCTCCTTTTTGACTTTCTCCTCTTCAAAGCATTACGGGAGGCGTCCGCAGCTGCAAATCAGCTCTTGAAGGACGGAGGGAGACTGAAGGAGGGACGGACGGGAGTAATGTGGGCTCTTTTATCTGTATAACAGACCTTCCCAATGTCACTGTCAGCCAGCGAGAGCCCCTAACCCCCACTCTCCTGTCCCATCCACACCTGCCAATTTCTCTTCCTCTCCCCTCCTCTTCCTCTCCCAGAGGGGGGATCAGCTGACAGCTACATCCTGGGGAGGTCCAGAGGCTTCCTGTCCATGTCCAAGAGCCCTGCTGGCCTCTGGCCTCGACCGGATGGACAGGGCTGCAGTGATTCACTCCCACAGAGACCTGCATGCTCACACAGGCATGTGACAAACATATACAAGCTGGGAGGACGGTTTCTTTTTAGATTTTGTAGATTTCAACTGAAAAAAATAAAGAATATCCATCAATCCATCCTCTGTTGCTCCTCCTGAACCTTCTTCCTCTTTCGGCCTTTTAATATAGTTTGTTTTCTTTTTTGTGGTTTTCCCTTATTTGAGCCCTTTGAGGCAATTTAGTGATTTGTGGTTTTGTGCTACAAATAAAAAATATACTTGAATATCTCCATATTTAGATCAATCAGCACTTGACTTTGTAACGTGCAGCTTGACACGTGGCTGGGAGCTGGGAAAGTGATTATTTAGCAGACCTGGACCCATGGGGCTTCAGGGGGGAAGCAGGCTCGACCTCATAGCGGACAGCCACATGTGCATGAACGAAGTAAAACACAGACCAGGGTGGAATAGAGCAGTCATGCATCCCAGCGATAGATCTTAAGACATGGAGGAAACAACTGGGAGCAACCGAACAGCCCAGTAATGTGCAGCTCATTATAACAGCACTGCCAGGCATGTCGCCGAAGCCGATGGCACCTGGTTCAATATGCTTACTGTACATAAATATAAATTCAGGTCTGATGTGAGAAGTTCATGGGGTTGTTGGTGGGAAGGTGAAGCCCTCATTGTTGGGTTTCTCAGGACCAGCACAGCGTGGTCCCAGTGTTTAGTGAGTGGTTCCATCCAGAGCTCTGGTTCTGATTAACTCCCCCAAATCCTTGAGGTAGGAGGAGCATTTTAATAGGTCTGCTTTATAGGGGGCTCTCCTGCCAGGAGCCCGGGAGCTATAAGCTGCCACGGGTCTCATTCCCCGATGTCTTCAACATGGTAGCTTGGCTTAACTATCTCTGCCTTTCAGCATCTAAACCCTGCTGCTCGGCTCAGGTTTAATTTGCCGAGCTGGAGTGTGTTTCTGCCGTTGTTAGATTTCTGCATTTTCAAGTTGAATCCAGCTCTCCTGAGTCGAGTGGGTGCTCCCTCTTTCTCTGCTTCCTGTGTCAATAAAGCATGTTTATGTGGGCTGTAGAGCGAAAAAAGGGACAGAACATCCCACACAGTTACACTTCCAGGAATATGAAGTGTTTTTTTTTTGTTTTTTACTAAGCTCTTATACAGTCGCAGCTTAGCAAAGGAAATTCCATCATCCGTGAGACAACAGTTATTCCTCACGTTGGCACCTTGGCGGCGGAGCTGACCGCGGCTGGCATAGCCTGTACGCTTCCTGCCTTTGCCCTCCCTCGCCCCTTTTAAGTGCTACCCAATGTGAACTGGCAGGGACACAGCGGAGGCCACTGATGGATGAAAGGGGCCGTGGGATGAGAGGGGAGGGGGGGGAGAAAGAGAGTACACACTGCCGAGGTGCCGGCCTGGTCAGAGGAAGTGTTGGCTGACTGCTGCAGGTGCAACAGGCGCTGCCAGGACAAAATCTCCCACTTTAGGCCCAGAAAATATATGATTTATGAATGGTTCATACAATGTTTTCCAATATCATCACAATCTTCAAATAGTTTGTGTGTTTCTCTTTTCAAAAGGAACAGAAAACCATAATGAAAACATTTTCTGTCAGTGGAAAAAGAAAAGAAACAAAAAGAGAATGAGGAGGAATTGCTTTGATTTTGTCCCCGTTTATTTACCAGTCGAGCAAATACGCAGCTGAGCTTTCGGAGTTCAAGAACCAGACGAAACATAATATATTCACATCATCAAACCTTCGCTTCAAAGCACAGCTGGAGTTCTGGCGGTGCATCTCAGTGGGAGCAGTCAGTCAGTTAATAAAATAAAGCAGCATCCCATCCGTCTGCTGGTTAGGCAGCACTAGCTTCTGATGGAGGGAAGAGAAGGCGGATAAAAGAGCCGCGTGTGGACATTGATCGTGGACCAAGAGTACACTACTGAGCACCTGCAACAAGAGAGTTATAGATCTAACTGAAGTTACAGAAATTGTGGATGACAGACAGAGACGGCGCTTAAGTCTTTTGAGAAACTCTCCAGAATCTGTGATCTAAAATGCGAGTATATATTTACAGACTTAAGAGCCCAGCTTGAAAAGAAAAAGGCATTTCATAAGACTATTTGTTCATGGTTGTAACTCAAAGTAAACTTCCGTTTCACTCAGTTTTATGGAAATGTTTTATCCCCTGACAGATTGGGGTGAAAAGTATGTTTTACAATGTGGTTTGAGGGAGGAGTTTCATATTAAAATGCTGTTTGAAAAGAAACTAGGCCATCATTGTTTGTATTCATCGTCTTTACACTGAAAACAAAAACACAGACCCCACTGCTGCATGTGTAATGGAATAATAATAAATAATGACCCATATTTTACTTGGGGACATTTTTTCTTTTGTTTTTAACACATTAATACCAAATATGTAGAAATATATTGAACTTCATTTTCCACAAACTGGAATGGAACTTTGATGAAAGTCACAAAATACAATTTTGTTTTATTACACAGCCCAATAGGAGTCTTCAAATGACTTGCTTTAGCCGACCGAACAGTCAAAAAACCCAAAATATCAAATTCCCGATGCAGTAAAGAGAAAAGTGACACAAATTCACATTTGAGAAGTAAATAACCTGTGAGTATGTTTATGAGTGCACGTATATATGTGCTGTACATCTGCAGCAGAAATCAAAACAGCACTCAGAACCTTTATGTCACTTCCTTACACATGGAACATCTCTTCTTACCAGCAGCAACATAAAAGAAAGGCAGAGGAAACAGCCTCAGGATCAATTGTTTCAGTCACACACACACACACAGTCAAACACACACTCAACCCATTGTTGTCTGGCCGGTACGCATGAGTTTCACCTCACAACCAGAAACACCCACGGATGCGGACAGACCGCGCCGTGTCCTGAAGTGGTGTAAACATGCTCTGGAGTGCATTAGGAGGAGGACAAGTAGGAAGTTCAGTTTTCTGTTGGACGAGCTTCCTGCTCAGTGACATAAATGCTGCTAAAAATAAACGCCACCCCTTGTCCAGATGTG